CCATAAAACAGTCTATACAAATGTACCATTTGAATCTTGCATCTGGTGCAAAAACCACTCATAGAACTGTACGCGTTTTTCAAAGTCTCGTTCATGTAGCTTTTGATGTACTCACAGGTGATACGGATGAAAGCTCTCCGAATGAAGAATACGCACGACACTGCTTTGATAAATGCTCATACCACACGAAATCTGCCATGTACTGATATGCGGATTATGGGTAAAAGCTGCTAAGGTTGGAATACGACATCCTTCGTTATTTACAATTTTGCAATACCTTTTACGTTTCTGTACATTAAAATTGTCATGTTCTTCTAGTCTTTGACTAAATCTTAAGAAGGTAGAATGCGATGGCTGATTTCGATCAGGATACTTGGCTTTGTACGAGATCTTAACTCTTACAGCATTTTCTTCACACGCTCCATAAACAATTATCATATCGTATTTTTCATTGTTACCAAACATCGTAATAAAAATGTAGAACATTTCTTTCAACCAGCAAGCGGCCAAATGTCGGAACTTGAGTATTTTTTTCTTCGTTTCTCGGACAATTCATGACCGTACTGGTTCTTAAGCCATTTGGGCTCCTGACTTTCCCTTTCCCACATCTGGTCACGAACTGCACAACAATTTCAGTTTCGGAAAACACAACGGCTTGACTTTCGATTGGTGTGGCTATAGCAGAGTTTGCCAAAATGCCCTCCGATTGGTGCGGCATTAGCAGCGGTTTTTTGTATAAAATCAGCGCAGCGAGCCGACCAGAGACTTTTTCCCTCAGACAGCTAGAGAACGAACGTGTATAGAGCAATAGCGCATTTCATTTGTACATAACTTGTTAGTTGTAATAAACCAAGTCGAGATTGAAAACACATATTACTGTTATACACAATTATTTATACAGTCCACTTCAACCATCAGAACTTCTAGGATTGAAACGTTTAATCGCCGCTAAAACTGTCGACGCTGCGACGCACATACACTTGCTGTGATACTAAAGAGGCATTTCGTGTTGATGATTTCTAACATCTAACAGGGAACTTGTTGACAGACATGACCTGCCGTCGAAAACAAGGTCATGTTGATTAAGCGTACTTCCTAAAAGAAGATTATTAATTTCAAGATATCCCAGTAATTATTCATTTGAAGTCCCACTTTGTGTAATACTTTTTCACGCAAAAATTTGATGATTTGTCCGAATTCTAAAAAAGATATTATACATTCCACTTAAGTAACTGAAGGTGACCATAATATCTCAATAAAAAAGTAAGGTAATTAAAAACAGATTCGAGCACTGTCTGTCCCCATAGGTACCATGCAACTTTCGTTTGAAACATTGTTTCATACAACGAATACCTTACGAGTTATTTGAGGTCGTCATGTTAGGAGACTCACTGTATAAATATCCCAAATATATAACTCTGAATTATATATTCATTTTTCACAAGCAAATTATAACAATTTTTTGAAAATTATGCAAGGCAATCGAGACACATCATTTTATCGAAGTTTGTATTGTACTAATCCTGAAAGCGTCGCAGATGCACAGGAAAACTTGTCATATCTTATCGCTGAATCATCGTGATAGAATAGACATTCTACAGAGATTTAATCAGCTCTCACGATCAAAGAGTAAATGTCATCTAACCAGTTCTCACGGTCAGAACACTGTAAAATGTCTGGATTTTCCTATCACTATGAGTCAGTGATAAGGTATGAGTTTCCCCACGCATCCGAGACTATTTAAGGACCAGTACGTGTCATTCACAAGTCACAATAGCACAGGTGCACGTCCTCTAGAGGAAGGAAAGCGACAGAAGGAGGAAGGAAGAACAAGGTACGAGATAAAGTGTGCGGCTAGGTGGAACGACCATTGACCTGGAACAGGGGCAAATACCAAGCCGGAGTTTTTATAACTGTGAGTATCAGAATACTAAAAAAGAAATAAAAGAAGAAGGAGGAAGAGTAGAAAGAGAAGAGAAATAATATAATAAGACAAATTAAATAAATTGTCCCCCGATTGTATTATAGATAGAGAAGATAAAATTGAGAACTAGGAAATAAGGAGCTGGATAAGGAACGAAGGAACCCAGACGAGGTCAACCAAGTACGTAGAACATGAATATATCCTAGAAAAAATAAATAGACGGAAAATTGAAAGGGAAACATCTCTGATTTATGTTACATAGGAGTAGACCCGTGACAAGGAGTAAGGAACACTCTCGAAAAGGAGGACACGAATAGGAAAGAATCGAAAGGAAACAACCGAGATCAGGATCATGGAATGCGCGAGAACCAATAGACAGGCAACAAAAAAGATCGTGGCCGTGTTGCCACTTTATTATCCGATGGCCCAAATGAATCCGCAGGACATCCCGTCCTATCAGAAGGCCATACGACAAATAATCAAGCTGGAAAGGAGGGCACCCCCCCAGTTCCTACATCATGAGATAAGAAACGGTGGCTTGATCGTTACGTGTGCCACCGACTACGACAAACAGTGGCTCGTTAGACATATCGACCGTGTAAAATTCAGATATAGACTCCAGGTAGATGATCCGATCGCCTTGGAATATAGATTTCTAATAGAGGGCGAAGTTATCAACTTGAAAAATACCAAAGATAATATTTTGCATAAAATCAGGTGTTATAACTCAAGCATCATATTAGGAGATTGGAAAATTATTAAAGATGAAATGAACCATAAAAAAATGACGAGAACTATTACATTTGAAGTGGCTTATCGATCGATAAAATGCTTAGAACAATTGAAAAATAGACTTCGCCTAGACGAATATGGGATTGATGGAATTACCTTTGGCCGAATTCGTCGGATAAAGAGAGTCTAGTCATCACGCGAAAGGTCAGAATCATCGGAAAGCTCTCGATAGGAAACATCCTTGAACATGCCGAGCATTAACGCACAACACAAGGCCACGCATAAGAGCCGGAATGTATGTATATCATAGAGGTGTATGGTCTGTAGAAGTGTTTAAGCCGAGCAAAATGGGCCGATTTGGCAGAAGAGTATTCATGGACAAATCGAACGTGTAGAAAATGGAAATCCTTAAATATTACTATTATGACTATTAATAAAATGTATTCTATCTTTATATATGTAGACATATAATAAATAATAAACAATAAATGTGACAATTTGAAAAATGTGCCATCAGTTCGCCGAACCTATTTGACATATTTTGTTAATAATTTAAAAAATCAGGAACAGACATTTTATTTTCTTTATAAATATTATATTACTGTTTATATACCATTCGTCAAATTTAGGGAATTTGACTGTATTCATCAAAACTTAATAATAGCACACGTGTGCTATCATTTTGTCCAGACAATGCGAGCAATGCTGACCACTTAAGTTTTTACGCGGTAGTATATGAGGATACACACCGCGGTAGTTCACACGGTGATAAGGCGTATCGCGAATGATGACAAGTGGCAAATGACGCGAACAAATTCAAGAACATCGAGACTTCATATTGTGTTATACGTTCCGGACTTGCGAACTTTACTACCGCTCGCGAGAATAATTGATAAGATTGTAATGTAATTTCTGATAAACAGACAGCGGAAGTAATACGAGGAAACGGTGACGTGTTGTTATTATGCGATCGGATAAACGATCTGCATATCCTACACGGGAACAGGAACACGAAACTACTGCGCATGCGGTTGAGGAAAACATGCAGGTTGCGATATTTGTCGGTTATCAGTTAAAAATGTGCAGAATTTCTTTTCCAAAAACAATAAAAAGAAACTCGGAATTATTACAAATTATCCACTCAGCCGTATTTGGATCCACGAGTAACTGAATCCGAGGGAAAAGCAAGACACTTCAGTACATTTATTTACGACTGCACAAGATGGTGCGAAGTTCGTTTGCCAAGGAGTAGATCTAATGGCCGCGCAATAAGGTAAACTGTCAATGTTACCCACATAATTAGTCAAAAATATGTGTTTACGGGAATACACTTTTCGTCCTTGTATGAGAATATTTCCTTTGACTTGTAGACAGACTTTTTGAAATGTATTGCATGACTCGCTCACTGCCATCCGGGTATTTGTGTGACAAAACTGCCCCAATACGGTATGAACTCGCATCTGTCTAAAATTAAAGGTAATTTGGGATTGTAATGTGCTAAACAATTCTTATTCTGAAAATTTTATTGTTTCCGCGTAAT